GATTTAGGAGTATCCATTCACCTGATTTAAGAGTATCCATTCGCCTGATTTACGAGTATCCCTTCACCTGATTTAGGAGTATCCCTTAACCTGATCTAGAAGTATCCCTTACCTGATTTAGGAGTATCCCTACCCTTGACTAGGAGTATCCCTTAACTGATTTAGGAGTATCGCTTAACCTGATTTAGGAGGCGCGCATGTGTCCTAACTGTCGTCTCGATGGCCACCATATCTTTAACATGCTTATTGCCTTACATTTAGATCTATCCTTTTGAAATATACTGAATTGAAATGGGGAAATCAAACATGTGGAAGCTCAGCTTCATTGGAGCTGATCGATACGTTTTACAGCCGTACAAGAAAGAAGTTGAACTAGTACAATTATTAAATAAGCATGCCATCTCTCTGCAATGGGAATTTCTTTTAATCGAAAAAGATCGAAATAGCTAAGAGAAAATGGCCATTAACTGATCGGTCAAATATGGAAAACCATGCTGGTTCTGCACTAATCGTTCTTTTTTTATTATTATTATTTTAACTAATCTTCCACTAATCCGGCGTTCTTACTGAATACTTTCAGTGTGCACACTCAAGTTTTTCGTCACTTTTGTAAAATGCGTACCACACTATAAACCATCCCTTTAGACAACCGATTGGAAATTAAATTCACTTTGATTATTTGTCGTATTTGAACTCAATATTTTTAAGTATTAAAATTTAAAATTTAAATTTTAGTGGGCTTGAAACAGTAGAAAGTCCAAAATATAATAACTTGGGGGGAAAAACGTTTTCAAGGTTCAAGTTTCCTCACTAGAGACCTTTAGCATCGTTTTTACCGCTATATCCGCTTACTACTAACCGCTAGGAATATCAGGCCCAGAAAAACGCCTGCAAACACGAAGAAACACTCGGCATCATTGAAATTCAATACGGCCACTCTTCCAGCAACAACTTCGTTATGACGTTTTCCTAAATATAGCCTGCTTTCAGCCGATATAAATATTTTGAGTAAATTATACCGGCTGAATGCAGGCTACCTGTATGTCGAAGGTTTGAAGGAAAACGCCTGACGTCGAACTGCAGTTTGAGGTTTGCGGGGCTAGTAAGATCGTCGTGCTATAGGTCTCTTTTGTATCGATAGATGAGAGGAACTACAAACTTGTGCGACGAAAACGGTTGGTTTAATATTAAAATAACTGCTGATATATTCCAGCAGGAGAACCGTTTTATGGTGTATTGAATTCCAGTAAAAGCCATCTGTGGACAGGGTTTTATCTCTCACCATATCTGCATAGAAAACTTGAATTGTTTATGTGGTCTATTGTTCATTAAAGCTAAGAAGTATCTAACAATGTCAATACTTAGACACGAAGTTAATAACTTTATTGTATCCCTGTTTATTTTAAATAACTTTTAAAAAGACTATTCTTTTTTTTTTTTTTT